GCCCCGTAACAGCAAATAGAATGAGGAGAAACTGTAAAGCAAAGGAAGAAGTTTGGGGATGCGTTTGTTGCTGACATGGAAAAAAAATTAAAAGATTATTTCCTGCAGAGAAGGGAGATTAAGTCATACTAAAATGAAAAGTAAGGAGCCTGAAGTAAACTCGGTTATTCAAAACAAGAGAGAAGAAGGGTTCCTGGCTCAGTGGGTTAAGCCTCTGCCTTCAGCTCAGGTCATGATCTCAGGGTCCTGGGATCAAGCCCTGCATTGCGCTCCCTGCTCAGCAGGAAGCCGGCTTCCCCCCCCACTCTCTGCCTGCCTCTCTGCCGGCTTGTGATCTTTCTCTCCTTGTCAAATAAAAAAAAAAATCTTTTAAAAAAGTGAAAAAAAAAAAAAAGAAGAAAGCGTGAGCTATAGAAAGTAATATATATTCTAATTTCTGGTTAAAATAAGTATGAGAAAAAAATAACTATGAACTGGTAGGAAGTACATTGTTTCTGCCACTTCTCTACATGACTTCAGCATGTATCTTAATCTATTTGTGATACCATTTCTTAATCTTAGAAGTATGGATAATGCTACCAGCCTCTGAGGATTATTGGAATGCACTGCACAGTGGTAGACAACTGACTTGCTATATAGTAATGCTCAGCAGTACAGTAACCTTATCGACACTTACCATTTCTACTTTGGAAAAGGATTCAGCATATTCCGAACCACATCACATCGCCACTCCTCGTAAAGTTATTTGTGTACACCTTTTTGTCTGGACTGCAGAGCCTCATCCAGCTTTGTTTTCAGACCAACTGCAACTTTTGAAGAACCAAATGTCATGAATTCTCAATTTTCCCCCTATGCTACTGAAACATACTAACATCTCCTCTTGGAAGGCAGTGCTAGCTAGTTGAATTCCACTGGCCCAGGGGTAAAACTGTGACATGAAATCCTTTGGATGGGATTCCAGATCTCTGGTTACCTCTGTAAGGCTTATCAGCTGAAATGAGAAACCATTTCTGACCGTGCTGTCCAATCAGTATTAAACTGAAGATGGCCAAGTGGATTTTAATATTACTTCCCCCATGTTAGCTGAGGATATTTCTTGGTGTTTTTGCCCATAGGTGACATCCAGTAGGTCATTTCTTTATTCTGAAGCCAGTTCTTTAGAGAAGTAAATATTATCAATGTTAAATTCTCCTACATTTCTGATAAGAAGAGATCCTTTCTTCAGTGAGCCATAACTCCCCATAGCTGGAGGAAGCTAATTAGCGATAATGAATGCCTTATACATAATGTATACTTTGGAATATATTCACAGATTCCAAATATGAATCAGTAGCTATCTGATTTCTGTTTCAAATTTAAATACTTTATACTCTACTTTAGCAGGAAATAGGTCATTAAAATGACCAAAAGGATCTGATTTTTTAAATAAGCAGGGACTCAAAGATGATAAAAAGTTAACAGGAGGACAGATCATGGAATAAAACATTTTATCTCATGTATCTTAAATCACATAGTCATTAAATTTAATTTTTTTTATGAGCCAGTTGTAACATAGCCATAAATATCCCTTTGTCTGTAAAGCTTTTAAGATTCAGGTTCCTCAAGCTCTTATAAAAGCTTAGATAAGGAAACAATATGACAGAGAGTAGCTCAGCAATTAATCATTCTGTGCCTCATTCCAAATTGTGTTATACATTAAAAAAAATCCACTTAATATGTTAAACTTTTATACATTTTTCACTGTCTGCTACTGCATGAAATATTCAAAGAGCCCTTGATATAATGAAATAGCTCTTTGAAAAGTTTTTATAATGAATATTGTAATCAAGATGCAAGAAAATAATTTTGTAGCAGCTTCTAAAACTGTAAGTAATATATCCCTAAAAAACAACAAAAACAAAAGTATAATTTTTTAAGCTAACTACCCAATCTGAGCCATTAGATCAACTATGAGAGGAAGAATAGGTGATAATTATTACAAATATTAAAGTAATTGCTAATATTATTACACAAAACTTAAACAGTATTTCTGTATATTTTAATGGTACAGAGAAATCTAAGGTACTTTCAAATATATCTACTGATCAAAAATTGGTGGTGAGGAGAATTTTGTTTTAAAAGCAAAATAATTTTTCATAACAAAAATAAACCATGGATGGTCTTGTGGTGGGATTCTAAAATTAAGAGAAGTAGATACACTTTCCTGGACAGTTTCTGTATCCAGAATGCCTTCCTCTTTCTACCACCTCATGACTCAGTTTACCCACTGGCCTTTCTGCCTTTCCTGTCTTCTCAAGTTAAAATTTTTCTTCTTCTGATGTGACCTATGTTACAACACTTCTCACTTCAGTCTAGTAATAAGAGCAGGGTGGCCTGATCTCAGCATTACTGCCATTTTGAGCCAGATAAATTTTTATTGTGGGAAGCTTTTTTTGCACCATAGATAATTAGCAATGTCCCTGGTCTCCACTCACTAGATACCAGTAACATGACCACCACTCCCAGATACAACAACCAAAACTCTCCAGATATTGTCAGATGTCCTTAGGGAACCAAATCACCCCTGCTGGAGAATTGCCATATTAGAGCAACTGGTATATATAACGTCATGTTCAGTTTTGAATATATGCCTCAATGTATGAAACATCATTCAGAGGTGATACTCAGTAAATATTTATAAAGTGAATGCAGAATAAGACGGTGCTTTCTTACTGCAGTTCATTGCTAGAATAATAAACATTCTTATAAAATGAACTATCAGTTTCACTTGAGGACTTAATACTTCTATATCCATTTTGGATCGGCTTATTTCCCAATATTTGGAATAGAAAGAGAAGACAGTGTTTTTCCAAATTGATAGTTCTCACTTGAACTCTGTGGTTCATAAATTTCTAATGGGACTCGATCCCTAGCAGTTTTTTCTTTCTTTCTTTTTATTACTAGAGAAAGAGGATGTCGAAATTTATTCCAAAACAAAGAAGAAGGAAATCAAGATGAAAATGGGAGAGAAAGGAGCAAAAGAGAAAGAAAGAGAGAGAGCGAGGAGGAGGAAAAGAAGTGAATAAGATGTAATAGGTTCTTCTATACTTATAAGATCCATTTATGACAAAGCTGAATTAAAATAAGCAATTTTGTTTTTAATTTTGACACCATTTTTTCTTTTTTTTTTTTTTTTTAGCCCCTTCTATTTCTGTAACAGTTTTTAAGCATACACAGAGCTAAATGTTGTTAATTACATATCACAAAGAGAACATCTGGGTCAAGGTACTGTAAACTGCCAACGCCTCAGAAGTCCTTAGTCCCTATTCCCTGGAGAGAGCTGCTCTCCTTACTTCATAGAAATCCTTTCCTTGTTATGTGTTGTCATTTTACTATGTATCCCTGAACACTGAGGTTTAGGTTTTGGTATTCTTATTGAATATTTTGTTTGTTCTGATTCATCCATGTTATATGTAACTGTAACTTGTGTAGGTTTATAGTTCTATAGGATCTTATTGTACGAATATGCTACAATATTTGTTCAACTGTTAATGGACATTTTTTTTTCCTAGTAAATTTTCTTACGCATGTCTTCTGGTGCACATACACACACATTTTTTTTTTGGATTCGCACTTAGGAGTTGAATTGCTAGGTCATAGGGAAGGCAAATCTTCAACTTTAATAAATAATACCAAACTCTTTTCCTATTTATCCTTATACCAAAACTGAGACACATAATGTAGTTTTGTGTGCTGTGACATCTATGCTAGAAAATGGGCTATGTGCGTGTGTGTGTGTGTGTGCGTGTGTACACATATGTATACCTATAAAAGCAAAGGTTTCAAACACAAATTTTCTGGAAATAAAACTGATATGATATGATATGATACATTGGAATTACATTCAAGATGTTCCAAACTTGAGGGATGATGGGTTGAAGGGAGCAATGTTTTGAATATTTCTGTAACTCTGGACTACCCCTCTTGAGCTCAACTCTTTTTCCCTTTCTCACATTATCCCAAGATGTAACCTGGGTTTGTGTAGCCCATGGAAAGTAATATTTGTAGCATTTTATTGAGCACTCTCAGAAACTACAGTGTTAAAGACAGGTGAACGTTGTACCTAGCACATGCCTTGGTACTACAGGCAAAGCACCTACCTGTGACATAGTTAGAAAAGTTCAAATATCCATGAAGAAACACAGACAAGTTTGGAGCATTTTCATCACGGGAACAAAAAAATCTGTATACCTTCTTTCCTGAGGATAACTCATGGATGAAGATAGTGTCCTCATATTCATTTTTATTATTTCTATGGCATGATTTATTATGTTCTAAGTTTGATCCTGCATTTGGCTCTTTGTGACTCATATTGACATTTTTAATAATCTCTCAGAAATGCCAGATCTTAAATGCATATAATTACCAAAATATGATAAAGCACAAAGGAACTTGAAAGAGAGGCTGCTTACTAGTAATATCCTATAAGCTTATGAGGTGGAAAGTTTGCCACATCAAACAAATCTAACTGTGCTTGCTTCTTGGTCCATTTCAAAGTAAAATTTAAAATTTCTTTCATGTAAAATTAGAGTAAAATGAGATTTCTCTTCTAGAAATCACAGAGCAGATTTTACAATTTAAGTCAAGATCTGGGGAATTATTATCATATTTTGGAAGTTACCAAGAAGAGCAAACACTACACCCTTATACTGAATTGAAGATACTGCCATGGCTGTGGATATTCAAAACTAGGTTTTACTAAATTTAATGACGTTAGAATCACCGAGTCAACCACTCCATACAGTTTTAGTATTAAGCTGATCCTCATGTTACTGAAATTATTTCCAAAACTGTAATTCAGGAGGGCTGAAATATATTGATCATTTTCTATTAAACATAATCTTCAATTCTAATTGATGGTTTAATTTATTGTAGTAAAAATTACTAATAGTATTTATAATAATTCTTCTGTTGAATTTTAGTTGTATTCAGTTTATTCTCACATCCAGTGTATTACTTACTCTGTGACGTCTGAGTGTCTATGAATTTCTTTATCAAGGCATCAGTAGTTTGGGTATAAAGACTGAGAGCGTATCTCAGAGACTGAAGATCTGGGCTTTTCTCCAAGAAATTCTTTTTCAGGCCATTTCCTCCCGCATGAAAGTATTGCTGAAGAGAAAAAAAAATAATAATAATGTAAGCGGAAGGATTTTATTGCCATAATAGTGACGCTCAAATGGAATAATACAATATGATCAATGTGAAATTGTGACAAAAGGACAGTCCTGATGCTTTCCCATTACTAGGTGATAAGCCTGTCATTCAGGTCCCCTCACTATCTCTGAACTGATGCCTTACATCACAGACCCCAGATTCTTGAAGTTTAAGGTTTTTCCTCTCATTCAAAACTTAAGTATATGGGATCATGAAGATGCAGCGGTAAAAAGCCTATTTATAGAATGACAGGTTTAGATGACAATTGTCGACTTGGTTATTGGCTTGTTTCTAGAAAAAAAAAATATATATATATATATATAAAATTTATTTATTTCCAGGGTTGTCAATATTTCACAAAGACTGTAGTACCTGCATCACATATTGTCCAGATACTAGTTTGTGATTCTAGGCCAGGTGGCTGCTGCTCCATTTTCCCCTGCTCTAAGCACACAGTAGGGCAGATATAGACCAACCTGAGAAGGCAGAGTAGTCGTTGGAAATCCAACATCTCCTGCATCTCATGTCTGATGAATGTAATGAAACATAGGGATTTTTTTTTATATTATTACCCAATACTCAAAACACTAAAATATCTGCAGCTAAGATACCAGAGAAGATATATGCTCTTTAATAATAAATATAGTCATTGAGGGACATTAGCATTTTTCATGCTGAAAGTATTATGTGCAGCTATCACCTAGAAAGCAATTATATACAAATATGTGACAGAACTAAGGATATTTTTTCCCAACCATTTATAGATGGTAACATATTTACAGTATACTGTTAGAGTTAGATAAATAGTTCTCACTCTCTCCCTGTAATGACAGTACTAAACTATACACTTACTGCAACCTGACTTGCTTTGATCTGATTCTCACAGAATGATGTATTTTTTTCTAATTTTTTTCAGTGTTCCAAAATTCACTGTTTATGCATGACACCCAGTGCTCCATGCAATACGTGCCCTCCAAAACACCTATCACCAATCTCACCCAACCCCCCCACTCCCCTCCCCTCCAAAACCCTCAGTTTGTTTCTCAGAGTCCATAGTCTCTCATGGTTTGTCTTCCCCCTCCGATTTCCCTCAACTACTTCTCCTCTGCATCTCCCTATGTCCTCCATGTTATTCCTTATGCTCCACAAATAAGCGAAACCATATGATAATTGACTCTCTCTGCTTGACTTATTTCACTCTTCCAGTCCCATCCACGTTGATACAAAAGTTGGGTATTCATCCTTTCTGATGGAGGCATAATATTCCATAGTATATATGGACCATATCTTCTTTATCCATTCGTCTGTTGAAGAGCATCTTGGCTCTTTCCACAGTTTGGCAACTATATCCATTGCCGCTATGAACATTAGGTACAGATGACCCTTCTTTTCACTACATCTGTATCTTTGGGGTAA